CTTGTTGGTTTTGGGCTCAGTCCTAGTCTTTAGGGCTTTTAGGGAGTAAACCAGCAGATGGGAGATATCTTGCTTTTGCTTCCTCTATTTCATTCCAGATCTTCCTTACAGACAAACAAATACTTTATTAAAATCTAAATTTCTGTAACAGTGACAGTCATATTCACATCGAGTCATTTTAATGTGTTCTTACCAAGATGATCTGTGATATTATGATGGCCTGTCAGAGTTACTGATAACATATTAATTCACCTAACCAATATTTACCGAGCCACTAACCATGTGTATTACATTATACCAAGCATTAGAGATGCAGTGATGAACACTATAATGTCCTTGCATTCAAGAAATACACTTCACGTGGGAGAGGGCTACATCAGATTACTAAATATAGAAATTGGGCTGAGATAGAAGCAACGCAATGTCAAGTACTTTGGTTAACCTTCGGTTATCCACAAAGAAGTTTTCTCAACATGTTTACTTTCAAAACTCATGAGGTGACAGTTACGCAGCAGCATTTAGTATTTTCTTCCTGAGCTAAAAATATTAAGACAATATTAAAATGATAATGGATTGCAAATATCTTGTCACTAAAATTTTGTTTGCCATCTGAAGAAACTAAATTTCCTGCCCTCCTTCCTTCCCTCCTTTCCTTCCTTCCTTCCCTTTCTTCCTGTCTTCCTTTTTCCTTTTCCCTGTCTTTGTCGCTCACCTTTTTCTTCAAGATTACATAGCAGGCAAAGCAACCAATTGTTAATTCTCTGTTGATAGCATCTGGTAAGTTGTAGGGTAAACTAAAAAATTTATGTATATAGCTTTAACCCTTATATAGGACTGGACCGAGAAATATCCTTTGTTAGCTTTAGAAGGTCCTGTCCATCTGCTGACACAGTTTATGCGTGGGAAAATACTGCAGAATTTCTATTGCAACAGATTTCTTTCTGTAGAAGGTTAGTTCACAGGTTTTTCTGTTGTAAGATTTATATATTTATTTATTATTTTATTGGAAAGTCAAATTTACACAGAGAAAGAGAAACAGAGAAAAATCTTCCATCCACTGATTCACTTCCCTAAGTGGTCACAACATCTGCAGCTAAGCTTACCTGAAACCAGGAGATTCCTCAAGGTCTCCCGCATTGGTGCAGGGTCCCAAGACTTTGGGTCATCCCCTACTGCTTGCCCAGGCCACAGTCAGGGAGTTGGATGAGAAATGGAGCAGCCAGGATATGAACTGGATACGTATGGGATCCCAGCATGGGCAAGACAAGGACTTTAGCTACTAAGCTATAGTGCTGGGCCCAGGTCACAGTTTTGCATAACTTTTGCAAAATCTCCTTGAATAAAAAGTAAAGTAAATCAAGGAATGCAAAACAATGCCATGTTTATTGGTGTTTGTTGTTAGCCACCTTTGTGATTGCAGATTACAACAGTCTTAGGTCAAACTACTTTGAATAAGTCTTGAGCACTCAAATAGTAGAAATTTAATATTTGCAACATAATAATCATGGAATAAATCACTTTAAAAGTGTTTATCTCTAAAGAATCCTAACCTATTATCAAAAATCATGTTTTAATTGAACATAAGTTCACTTTGAGTGTGACCACCATTTTTCAATTTCCTTATTATGGAACCTTAGGAGTTTTACATATCTGTCATGCACTCTAGGTATCTGAATTTTTATTTCTTAGGGTAAATAGAACATGGAACTGTTAAGTTTTTACTGAAACTAATCTCTTTCTTTGGATTCAGGAGGACACAATGGGAACTCTGCAGAGGTATCAAGAAATATTTCCTCCAGTCACCTCTCAAATATCTTCTTCCTCTACAGGCACATATGCATACCTGTCATCACAGCTTTGCAAAGGAAAAAAAAACTAAGAAAGCAACTTACAAACTAGGGCCATTGGCAATCACATAGCACAGATATTTCTGGCTTACAAATCTTTGGTGACAAGCTATCTCTCCTCAATGGTTAATTAAAAGGTCACTTACACAAAAATATGTGTGGTAATATTGACACTGAAGTATATGTTCTAGGCCAACTGGAGATGTGTTATGAAACATAAAACTCAGTATCTAATTTGGATGGGAGAATTTCTGAATTTCTTGGAAGGTAGAAATTAATGTGCTTTTAGAAAGTGGTATCTAGTATTATCATAACAACTAGTACTATCAGCACAAATATGCAGTGCTTTCTCTGGGAGTTACTTTTTACTCAATAATGATGAGCAATCAGAATGATCACCAATGCATTGAAAAATAATACGCCTGATTCCTTTAACTACCAGTCACATTGAAAACATGCAGCAAGAGTGCTCCAAAATTGGAACAAAATTTGAGAGGCTATTTTTATTAGACCCACAATTATAGGAAAGTGTAGTTAAACTCTTTCAAATGAATAGCTTAGTAGTCTTTATAACAATGCCCATAACTATAAATCTACCAGAAGTCATTGCAGGCTTTTACTCTTGTTCTTGACTGACTGTTGCACCTGAGCTACTTTCCCATCTTCTCAGTAATTCTGGCACATATTTTGTGTTGCACACAGATTCATTATCCATTGTTTACTTTCTTTGTTGTCCTCTCCATAGAAGCTTATTCTATTTCACCCATCTCACTTAACAAAAGACTACTTTAATAAATTAAAAAAAAACAATGAATTAATGGAATAAAGTTTAAAAACTGATATGTTAGGGAATAAGGGAGAAAAATCAAAACGTCCTACCTTGTTCTAGTTGAAATACTTTCTGCTTTTAATTAAGGCTATCTCCTGAGGTTCATTCTTGAACACATAAGGAAAACAAGGAAGCTAGACTCTCCCACTCAAATCCCTCTGTGTACTGGGAGCTAATTATCTAGGGCAGTTAGCAGGCAATAGATCTTACTGTACCTTCTTTAATTTCTTTTAGAAAAAAAAAAAGAAAATATATAAACAAGATGAAAGAAAGCTTTGATTGATAGTGATGAAGAACAAGACTTATTATTCCGAAGAGTGCAATCCCAGTGATGAAGAGACATTAAACAGGCAACAAGCTTAGATCCAAATTTTAAAAAAAAAAGGAAAGATGGAAAAATCATTAGACAAAGAAAATGTTTCTAAGCAGAAATTTTTCAGTGAATCAATGGTGGTGTTGGGGAGAGCTAAGACCCAAGCTCCAAGCGGTCCTCCAGTTACTTGGACTGTCACTGGCACTCACCCTTATGTTCTCCAGCTCTTAGCTATCTAAATCCCACAGTTCAACTTTGCAGAGTGAATGGCTTTACAAGACCTGGATTTCTTCAAATGGATATTTGATAGGGGAATGACGCTTATTATAAAAACACATTTACTTAGACTAGCTCAACCCAAGCAATAAGTGGAAATTAGCTCTCCCAAATATATGTGTTTATTGGGGAGAAAGAAGCAGGTCCAAGAATGATTATGGATGAAAGAACATGACAAAGTTCAATTATCTGAATCAGAAATAAAGTCATAAATCTGAGCAAGGAACGTTCTTCAACAACTAAGAGGTACATTCTCTTCCACTTCTTTCCATATTTTCGCTATTATGACAGGAATGTGAACATATTGGAATGCTTTTGTAAAAACACACTTGAAAGATGTTATTGCTTGTCTTTCATGTACTGTATTTATTTGGTATGAAAAATTATCTGAAAAAACAGACATGGAAAAAATGAAGTGTATCTCAATATTAAAATGAACAGGAAACTAGAACATCAACATTCTTTTGTGTTTGTATAAAGTTGCTGACACTTTCATTTATGGACTCAGGGAGGTAGCAAATAAAGAATTTTCTTTCACCAAAAAAGTTTAAGATCTAAGATGTGAATATCATTTTTTTTCCAAAATAGTGTAGCTTTGTAAAAACTGTTAGAGGAAAGAGAGTATCATAAAATTACAGGTAGGAGAATTTTGCAGTTTTGACAAGGTTGAACATGGTATGTTCAAAGCTTAAGGAGAAAGCCCTAAAGCAGACAGAATCACAAGCTGACGTGGATACAAACAGGGCAGGTGTCAAATACAGAACATAAGCATACGTGTCGTAGGTGGGACTCAACGGACTTGTTTTAGCTGAAATGCAGAGGCAGGAGATAGGGCGGGATATGGAAAGACTTTTGCATATCCTTCTCTCCCCCTTCTAGCACGCATTGGTGATTGATGAGAAAAAAAGTGTCAACCTAATCATCACTTTCATTGGCTTTAAGAACCAAAAATGATTTCCGACGTTACAAGGTGTCTCTTCATTCATTCATGCCACTGAGTTTCCGTGTGTCAACATCTGCTGCATTATACCTTAGTGATAAAACAGTGACTATCAACTGGCTATCATTTTCCTTAATTAAAAAACAAAAATTAGAGTTTCTCTCCCTGTTACTTCACAGAGCTGATCTGGAATCAAGCATGATACAATAGCATGTGTGGTACCATATCATAAAATGAATCAGTAATAGCAGGAATATGCTTTACTGCAGGAAGAAAAACATTAGATTTGAACAAAAAGAACAAATCTTTTTGTACTGACAGAAAACCACTTTTGTTGTACAGTGACATGGAAAGAATGTCACAGAAGTTAAAGCCAGGGCTATTTTCTTACTCGATTTAAAATTAAAATGATCAATGGACTCTTCTTCATACTTGCAATGTATTTTGTGATAATCCATTGTAGTATGTGCTGAATTTGCAAATGGTTGCTTATTCTCATTGGATATGCTGATGATTTACATGGTAGAGCATTTGGGATTTCACAAGGCTGAAGAATGCATCCAAACCAAGCTTAGCACAGTCCCCTGTAAATGCTGGAGGGAGCGGCTGATCTCTAAACATGCTAGCAATATCTTCCACAAGAAGAAAGAGGAAATTAATGAGCAGAACAAACTGATCTGTAAGGACTTGCTCTGAAGTTTCCTGACCAGGAGATAATATTCCTTTCTCACAGGTAAGAAACCTCAAGCCTCAAAACAATGAAACACAATTTAGAGAATGGACTATAGGACTTACCTCCTGTAAGCATGAGGGCGCACTTGCACATACAGTTGTCGTTATCAGCATCTTTCGTGCTGAAATCAGCACCATGTAAGATCAGGCTGCTCTGCTTTCCTGCTGTTCCTGTGTGGCCCTTCAAATATAACCTGAAAAAACACAATACAATACAATACAATACAATACAATACAATACAAGCCACTTGAATGAATAACAGAACCTAGAAAGCTGAATTGTTGAATGTTCGCTGTTTTCATCTTTTTTGCTCTTTAAACCCAGCTTTTCCAATAAACCCACTACTGGAACCAAAAGCATACGAAAGTAAAGAACAGAGAGGGTGGAACAAGAGGTGGTGACAGTCAGAAAGAAATATTTAATCACAAAGAGAAGAATTTTCTGCGGTGTGTGAAGTGTTATAGTTTTCACGGTGCATACACACTCATAATTCTCTAACAATGCAAGTACCTCAAGGAAAACACAAGCTATTTTTATTATAGCAGGGATCAGTATCTAATCAAAATGGCTTTTAATTATAGGTACATCATGCAACCACACTATTAACACTATTAAACACTATTAACAGCAATATAGATAATAAATCTTGACCAATGAGAACTTGCTCTATGCTTGACACTGCTATTTGAGATTTGGTACTGTTTCGTTCCATTCTTATGATCAGTATGTGTTCAAGGAGTTACTATCTCCATTTGTATAAGAAGGTGTAGTGAAACTAAGTAAGCAGGAATTTAGCTGTGCTGCCCTCTAAAACTTGAGCTCTTAATCTCTATGCATTTCCTAGAGAGAACATGTGCTATGTGCCATCCACTGCTCTGTGCATTTCATTAAACTGCAAACGAAATCAGACAAAACATCCATGCAGCTGAAAGATTTACATGATAGTGACATTCTTTAAATTCAGAATCCCAATTTTTTAATCTTATGTATGGTATTCTATAAATGACCTGCCTTACTCTTTTGGAATGTTTTTATTTAAAACTAATGTGAACTTAAACCCATAGCCTTTCAGCAATTATGGATTGATCAATACGTTGAACTATTGATTGATAGATAACTAGATAGATCCATGGGTTGAGGACAGATAAATATATGACTTCTATGTACACCTAGGTATATGCTAATATATGTCTTCTTATTAATATGTGGTGTTTGATGATATTTTATAGTTGTTGCATTAGTATTTTATATTTTGCAATTGTTGCATATTTGTGCAAAATATTTTAAAGTATTTAGACATTTCAAGCTACAGCAAAAAGATACAACTAAGCCTTTATCAAGATTTGTTAGCTTTGATTATTTACAGAAAATGGAAATAGCTTTACTAAAAATAACTTTTTCTTAAGCTACAGAATCAAATACAAGCTTATAATATTTTAAAACCTGAAAAGCAGGCCAAACATCACCGGAGATGCAAAATTAGAGATGTTTTTCTAAGTGTCAGTGTATACTTGAGGCTGCATCCAGCCTGCTTGTGGAAGAGTCTCTCTGGGGAAAACTGGAGGACAGACAGGTCACCAATGTGAGTTCTGGGAAATGGTGTCCTGTTGGACTCACCACCCTCCAGGACTGGCCTGGAGTTCAATGTGCTCACTTTCTGGAAGTCTTTAGCCTCTCAGAGACAGAGATGCACACTAAAATCCACTAGAGACATGTTGTCAGGTCTCCATTTATAGTCAAGTTAGATGCATTTTGTGGGCCAAGTCTGATGGTCTACTCAGAATTTCCAGAAAGCCAAATCATAAACAACAAAGTTGCTAGTTTATTGAACACAGAATCAGAGTCAGGGGAATAGGATGAAGCGTTCCAAAATTAAGTAGCTGCAACTCTACTAGTCTAAAAATCTCTTTTCCCCCTGGGGCTGGGAGAGTTGCAGCGCAGTGTGTCCATGATAGCGATGGTTAGTCTAGTTCGGTTGTTTGGCTTTTTTCAAATGCGTGATGGCTTCCCTTCTTTCCTCAGTAACAGTTGCACAAGCGAAGTCAAGTGCAGGTTCCAGAAGCGGGATTGCTAGGTCACATGGCAATGACTTGAAAGTGTTTTGAAGTACATTTTACACTATTTTTCAAAGTTAGCTGCACAGATTCGCATTCCCAAACAGCATATAAAGCTTCCCTGAGATCAGGGTGTCAAGCAGATGTCTGTATTTTCACAACCATTTCAGCTCTGTTTATAATAACTGAAAAATGGAACCAACAGAAGTATGCCTCAAGGATGAATGGTAAAAGAAAATATGCACAGTGAAATGTTATCCAGTCATTCAACTAAGAAAATGCTTCCACTCACAAAAATGTGGATCGAATTGCAGGATATTATGTTAAGCGAAAGAAGTCAAGCACAGAAAGACTAAGGTGCCCATGGATTTTAAGAGGTCAATCTTAAATCTCAGAAACAGAAACCTTGATAGTTATTAGAGGTTATAGCAATGATAAGGAGGGAAAGGAAATGGGAAAGAAAAGATGCCGGTCAAAGTGTTTGAAGTCTCATAACTCAAGAGGAAGATGGTAACCTGTGACATGATGTGGTGACTTCATTGAATAGTAATGTGTTGTGCTTTCAAAAATTACTGTGAAAATAGAATTTTACTATTCTGAGCACAAAGAAATGACAAATTGGTGAGATGCTGGATTTGTTAGTTAGCTTGACTGATATTTCTATAATGTATTCATGGATTACGACATCATATAAATATAAGCATTTGCCAATTCAGAAAAATAGACAAAAAATAAGAATAATGAAAAAAGTAAAAAAGGAAGAATCAATCCACAACTCATTGAGTATACATACTCTTAAAATTACATAATTTTACTGCATTTTCCAGTCCAAATATGAAAAAAGTCTTCATTTTAAGTGTCCGTATATATATATGTAAATATATGCACACATTTAAAAACATACATGTAAGAGATAAATACATTAAAATATGCATAAAACCCTTGCCTACAGCCCCAACTCATCTCTCCTCAGATGCAATGGATGCAGGCAAATTGTGTTCCTTAACATGAGGGTATTTTTTTTTGAGGTTGGCATTGTGGCATAGTGAACAGATGTTGACAGGGATGCCAGCATACCATATTGGTGCCAGCTGGAACGCCAGTTGCTCCAACTTCTCATCCAGGCAGGTTCTAATGGGTATGACGAAGCAACAGAAGATGACCCAATTCCCTGGGCTCCTGAACCAATGTGAGAGGCCCAGAAGAAATGGTAACTCCTGGTTTTGGTCTTGTTCTACCCTGGCTATTATGCTTATTTGGGCAGTAAAACAATAGGCTCTGTTTCTCCCCTTCTGCTTGTAATGCTGTCTTTCAAACAAATAAAGCAAATAAATTATCCTCATAAATAAGTACAAATTGAAAGAGTTTTACAAATCATTTTATGTATAAATATATAGTCTGTTTTTAAGCCACTATATATGGTTCACCAACTTCATTTGGAAGATATTTTATGAACATATTATCAGTTGTAATGGAATTGAAGATTGCTTCCCATATCTCTAAAATGTGCACGCAGATGTTATCTTAGGATTAGAAAGTTTCCAGTGACTTTTCCTAACCACCACTGGCATGTACCTCACCACTACTATATGTTATTTTATTCCATGAACAAAGAGACATTTTTAAGGACTCATTTGATTAATAGTCAGAGGTCAGATTTGTAGCTATGGCAAGTTTTCTCTGATTTAATGCAGAGGTCTTGCAACTGGTCTCGCTGCTTCTTCCCCTTTTTAAAATCCTTGCTCCATATGGTTCATTCAAAACATGCATCTCATCATCTCTCTACTTTGGTTAAAATCCCTCAGATGTCCCCCGAGACACTTAAAGAATAAAATCAATTCCTTATTGTGGTTTACAAGGCCTTTGAAGTCTACTCCTTGTGCACTGTAAACTTTCTCAAATGCTGCCTATCCCCACCATCCCCTTTCTTTTTCTTTCCTTTACACACAGAGTGTTCTCCACCCTACCCAATCATCTGCTCCTCCAAGCAATGACTTGTCTTATTTTCATGCATCTCTTAGAAGACCATTCTCTGTTTTGAACAACTGATAAGCTGCTATTCATCCTTTAAGATTCATTTCAAATATAATCTCAGGGAGCATTAAATTAATATCCTCATGACGGTATCTATTTGCTTCATTTAACTATCTTTTTCTTATCTGATTTACATAATCAATCATGGGTTTTTTCACATATAAATTGCATCTTACCCATCTTTAAATTCCTACAATTCTAAGAGAAGAATTAATAGGATTTGAGATACTGAAGTGCCTTAATTTACACTGAATAAATTAACGAGGAGTGTGACTCATTTTTAACCTTCAAACAAAAGTAAACTAGAATATCAGTAACCAAAGCAATCAAAAAATGCCTGCCTCATGTTTACTGAGGTTTCACCTGTTTTGTGTTTCATTTAATAAGGAATTCAAGAAAATCAATCAAGTACTACTTTCCTATTCAACCAAAATTTAAAATGCATGCTTACATGTGCATATTCCATACATGTGTACACAGGCCCTCACATGCTGAGCTGTATCGTTCTTGCTTCTTTTCATTCCTGGGTTTGCTACTTGTTATCTCAGACATGACAGGATACAGAAATATGCCGATGAATTATGTACACAAAATAAAGTGAGAAAGGCTACATATAATATTTATGAGTTGTTACATTTTATTGAGGGATTTGTATCTCATGCATAACCAAGACATATATGAGAGAAAAATTAAAATGCAATCATCCTTTAGATAAATTATCCAACTGAAATTATTTTTAAAAGAAAAATGACAACAAGCTGTAGAAGCACCTCCTTAGGTCCTTCCCGGAGAAGAAATCACTAAAACTCGAAGCCGAAGCAGAGATCCAAGCTGTGCCGTGTCATCCTACACACATGCTGACTAGGCAGCTCTAAGTGCTGAAGAGATGAAGGTTTGGAAGAACAATGGATTTTTCCACTACAGCGTGAATGAAGAATACAGGTAATGTATGTAGAGTATCATTCACCCTCCCTCATCTGTGTCCTCAGCACGTCACAGAAGCATGGCTTAAATTCCGTTATGAAGGAGATAACTCCTTGGACAGTCATTCCATTGCACTGGGAGACACGTGGGATTTCTCAAAAGTAACTTGTTTTCAACACTA